CAGCCTGCCCGAGGCCTCTCCGGGAGTGCTGCAGTGGGCAGAGAGGGGCAGCTTGGATTCCAAGCTGTGTTCTTTGTAAATATGAGCGGATAAAAAGCAGTATTGCACTTGTGAGGCAGAACGTAAGGCAGTACCACGAAGGACCTGGACCACTGTTACAGCACAAGGCGCAGGCCCCAGCAGCACCACGGGGCTCCAGAGGTTCTTCTGTCCTGGCAATCTTCCAGATGCAGCCCCTGGGCCCGCAGTGGCACCGGAGCCCAGCTCTGCTCAGCACTGCACACTGTGGCTGGCTGTCGGGCACTTCCACAGCTCCCTGAGTGGCCACTGCCACAGGCTGCACGTTCCAGTCCAGCCAGACTCCGGCTCACAGGAGCCTGGGCTGAGTGAGGAGGAGGCAGCAGGGAGCAGTGGCTCACGCTCTGCTGCGTGGGCAGTCGTGCACACAACTGCATGTTGTGGTCAAGTCAAGCAGCCTTTTGCCTTTTGTACTCCAGCTGGCAACAGAAACCACTCAGGAGCCTTCCTTGAAGAGGCACAGGCAAATCCTGGCAGTGAGGAGCCAGGACGGGGCTGTGGGTTTGTGCCTGGCAGGAGCTGACTGGCTCAGGGCAATCACATCACCCCAAAGGATATTCCCCTTGTGGCCAGAAGGCAAACTTCCTTCTCCCCCTGAGTGGTGGGTAAGGGCTGGATTAATGTCGATGACAACTGTGAGGGCTCAGATCAGCCCTTTGTGTTGACTTTGTTAATGAAGTGCCCTGTTGGCATTTCCTTTTGCAGTCGCCCTGTGCTTGCATTTGAGCTGCAGCAGTTGTAAGCCAAAAGTTCTTAGTCAGTGGAGGGGGATCCTGTTTTTTGGAACTATGCAGAGTTTTCTAACAGTGCAATAAAAGCATTTGTTCTATGTTAGAATGAAAAAGCTCCTTCCATGTCTTTATTTCACTCTAGGGTTCTGCCTAAAGGTTCCCCCTGTACAAAATGTTGTTGTCATTAGCAGAGCTGCCTTCAAGGTGGTTCCACCATCCTGTCAGGGGGTGTTTCCCTAGTGTTTAGGAATAAAATGCTCATGTGGGAGAATCTTGCACTCTGCTGGTGACTGTTATCCACAGGTACTCTGGCTGCCAGTGTCCCAGCAGCGACCCATGCCTCCTCAGGGACCAGGGTGCTGCTTCTGCAGCTTGTTTCTCCCATTGTTGTGACAGAGCAGTGGGATGAGGCCTTCAACTCACTGCTCAGGGTGCTTGACCTTCAGTGAATGGAAACATGGAGCTCTTGAGCAGAACCCCCACACTATCACCCACCTGGAGGCATGCTACCTCCTCCCAACCAACACTTGGCATTGCCAGGCAGTTTTTGTGCAGTTGCAAGCAGTAGGATGTGGTTTGGGAAGAGGAGAGTCTGTTTGTTCTGACTCGCAAAACAGTGGCTTTGCACTGTTCTTTGTGTTGCTGCCAGAAGCTGAAATCCCCAGCCCATGCCCACAGCCTGCTTTAAGGAGCCAACAAAGAGTGTTGGGAGTACAGAGTGGTGCCAGGGACGTTGTGGTATTTGGACTGGGCTGGACAGGAGGAGTGTTCCCAGGCTGGAAGCCTTTGCTCACTGTCCTGTCTCCCCATCTCCCAGGGGAGTTACAGCCAAAACAGCCTCTCTGCTCCCTGGGTGGCTCAGCCCTCCTCGGGCAGGGGGTGCAGCTCCCTGGGAGGTGATGGCCAGGAGCACCCCACTCAGTTCTACCTTGTTTGATTCTCTTTCAGGAGGACTGAGCATCTGCCTCTTCCACTTCACTCTCAGTACCAGCAGCTCTGTCCCCTGTCCTGCAGCATCAGAACTCCCAGGGATCATCACTGTTCTCTTGCCTTGCCCATCCACTCCTTCGGGTCCTCACCTGAGCAAAGTGCAGGTTTCAAAATGGGACTTTACAGGGAGTGGACTTTGCTTCCCCCAGGAATGCTGCTGTCAGCCGGGCCTTCCTTGAGATGGGTCACGCGCCCACGGCTTTGAGCCTGCAGGGATTAAACCAGCGGTGAACTCGGTTTTCAACCAGTGCCGTAGCAGCAGGCAGGCCCCTGTCAGGACTCCGGGTGCTAATCCAGCCTGATGGTCCATGCTCTTGCTCACAGAGGTGTGTAATCAACCTTTATTTTTACAGCTAAATCAGAAAAATGTGGAAGGAGCAGTTCAGACCAGCAAAAACCCTTCCTTGCCTCTTGTGCACAGGTAAATGATGCAGTCAAGGAACTTTTGACACAAAGGTCTGTGGCACTTATCGGCTTTATCATCTTAGCCATGAGAAGATGAGGCTCCTGCAGGGCACGCCGTCTCTGCCATCAGCAGCAGGAGTAGAACTTGGTACTGCTTTGTCTCTCATTTTCCTCCTTCCCCCTTTTTTCTCTCTTTTCCTCCTATCTTTTCTGGACCGACCAAACCAAACTGCAGCAGCAGTGCTGCCCCTTGCAGTCCCACCCAGCATCCCACCTCTCCAAGATACAGCTGCATGTTCAGAGCACAGACACTGCCAATGGAGATGATAATTTATTGCAAATACATCAGAGCAACACAGACATGCAAGGAAAGAGCTGCTGCACTGGGGCACAGCATTAGCCACAACAGACTTGGCTCTGGGGGACTCGCCAGGGGTGCCAACAGTATCACCCATCAGTGATGGTACCACAGTGTCACCAGCATTACAAAGTGCTGCCCGCTGCTTGTTGCCTTCCCATGTTTGCTTGGTGAGTGCTGCGGGGAAATCTGCTGCTCCTTAACAGGAAAAAAAGTGAAGCAGACATGCAGAGGAAGGAGAGAAACCTGCAGAGCTGCCGTAGCGATTAGCAAATCATCCTGGGAAACAAGCAGGAGCCCTCCCTGCCAGGGGAAGAGCCACGAGGTGCACAGGGCACAGCTCCCTGAGGCCCTAGATGACCAAGTCTGCGTTTTTGGGGTGCAGGTGGTGGCCCCCAGCCAGACCTGGTGCAGCGGGGGCCTGGCGGCAGGTGGGGGCCAGCGGCGTTGCGGTGCTGGTGAAGCGGGTGCTGCAGGCAAGGAGCAGTCCGCCAGCGGCGAGGAAGGCTCCAGCAAACCACCCCAGGAAGGTGGCCTCCCCAAACTCCCACCTGGGGACGATGTCGGGGACAGTCTCATCCCAGAAGTCGAGGACGGTGTTGTAGGCAACCCAGGAGACTGGCACCAGAGTGGTGATCCCTGCCATGCCAAGCGTCACTCCCCCGCCAAGCAGGAGCTGCCGCTTTCGCCCGGGTTTGTCCTCGCAGGTTCTCCAGCCCTCCAGCCCCAGGGCAGCGAGGAGGCAGCCCAGCAGCCCCAGCCCGTTGGAGAGGCACATCAGGAGGCGAGAGATGCGCAGCTCGGGGGGCAGCGCCAGGAAGGAGCCGTGGGCTTGGCATTCAACCACCCCCTCCTCCTGGGTGATGCAGACCTGCCAGAGCCCCATGTTCCAGACCTCCAGCTCGTTCAGGTCCAGGTTGAGGTTCTTCCAGAGTGGCACGAAGGTGGTGACGCAGGAGCTGATCCATCCGAGGAGAGCCAGCAGCATCCCCCCGCCCTGCGCCCTTGCCCGCCAGCCCCCGGCCATGCTGTGCCGAGCTGGGGCGGATCAGCCGCCCGGCCCGGGCATTAACGCGTGTGCTGCAGCGTCCGCCCGGCCGCGTCTGCCGCCCGGGGGGGCGAATTCAAGCCTGCTCCTCCAACGCCGGGGTGTGGCCACGGTCGTTTTTCAGCTGTTGTTGGTTTTTCCACGCTAAAAGCAGAGCCCGGCTCAGCAGGAAAAGCCGTGCATCCCCGCCGTAACTCCGGGCTGGGTCCCGCCGCTGCCTCGCCGTGCCCAGGAGGGTTAAGCCAAAGCATGCAAATCCTCCGAGCCTTGGCCACCCCGGGGAGAGCCTTGGCAGGGAAAGCAATTCTCGGCAGCAGCAGTTCCAGCCTCGGCGGGACACGGCTGGCACCGCAGCACAAGATGCAGGCAGCAGAGAATCGGCATCAGGCTTTTCTCAGGAGTCAGTGTTTCTGTTGGAGGCCTTGATCCTCATTCGGTCATTAATTAAATATGCAAAGGAGCTTGGAGGGCTTCGTTGAGAATGGGGATATTCAAGGATAGGAGGCAGGTTTCAGATGGGCCCTTCTCGCAGGTGGGCATTGATGGCCCTGTCCTGCACCCAGCACTTCACCAGCAGATGCGGCTCATGGTGCTTGTGTGTGAGGAAACCCTTGTCCTGATAGGAGATACGCTGATGCAAACTCAAAGCTGGTGAAAGCCCATGTACATCAGCTCGGTCCGGTGGAAGGTGTTCCTGTGGCAGGGGGTTGGAGCTGGACTGATCTTTAAGACCCTCTCCAACCCAAACCGTTCTGGGATTCTATGAAAAGGATGAAAAGAAGCATCAGGAAAATCCCAAATTCGTGCTGGCACTCGGCTCCCATCCTCCCCCACGTGCATTGCCTCTGCGGGGTCCAGCTTGCAGATTCATCTTCCCTGGGAGATTAGCGACTAATCTCTCCTTCATCCGCCGTCTTTCTTATCTGTATCGGGAGCCAGACTGGAAATTACTGAGTCCTGCTGGTCCCGGGGTCCAGCCCTGGTGAGCGTCAGGAGGATCTTTGCAGGGGGCTCCCACAAGGAGGGGGCGAGGGAGAACGGACCACGCTCAACGCAGAAGCACAGACCAGGCAGGAGAAAGGGGATGTTTCCCAGCCCTTGCTGACCATCCCGTTCCTAAGAGCAGACAGCAAGCATCATCCCAAGGGCAAGAACAGGGAAATCCGCTGGGAAACCCCTCCTGCTCCTTCCCCCAGGCATTGGGGCACCTGCTCCTTCTGATTAAATCGTCTCAAGGTAATTGTGCCTGTCATTGAGACAGATTAACGGGTGACCTTCTGCCGCCGGAGCAGGATTGGCGGCCGCCGCCGAGCTCCCAGTCCTTCTTTCCCTCCCACCGGCCACGGTGGCACAGCCGGGCAGAGGATTCCCGTCCGCAGCCGGTGGGAAGATGCCCGGCAGTGGCCGGGGCAGAGCGGGAGCCACAAGCCGAGAACGACGTGTGCCGGGCTGGCAGCCGCTCTGCCTGGACATGAGGTGGGTGTCTCCCGCGCCCAGGGGCCTGGGGAGCCGGGAGGTTGGCCCGGAGCCTGGCATCCCCTGATGGTCCCGCTGCTCTGCGGCAGCAGGGGATGCTCGGCGGAGGAAGTGCCAACACTCCCATCCATCCCCACCCCTATCCCCGCAGGCCGCTGCGCTCCGGGCTGCGTTTCCAGGACCGTGACCTCCCACCACGTCTCCCCATGGGCACCGGCTGGACTCAGCCTGTCCTGAGGAGCCCGGCTGTGGGGTCTGCATCTCTCTCACAGGCTCTCCTTCCTCCGCACCTAGGGGCCATCCATTTCTGCTCAGAGCTTCTTAGAGAACCGGCAGCTACCTCCACGGCCTGGGACAACTGTGGAACAGTGCCTTAGGCGCTTACCTGGAGCTTGCCGGCTGCCGAGGCTGCTTCCCACCAGAGACGAACGCCTCTTTCCCCGGCCTTGCAATGCAATTATGGCCCTTAATGGGCTTAGCCATCTGGAGCCAGCCCACGGGCACCCCGGCACAGCTCCAGAGCTGGGACGTGCCTTGCTGGGCAAGGGGGACCCCGCAGACCCTGGCCCCTGGGGGTGCGGAGCGGGGCCAGAGCCCCAGGCTGCTTTCCATGCCCGAATAACTCCCCGCTCTGTCTTCCCCACGGCAGGACGTGGCGCCCCGCCCGGGGCTGAGCCCACCATGGTGCTCCCCTACGCTCACAGCAGCGCGGGCGGCTGGCCAGCCCCGGAGGAGCCCCGTGGCCGCAGCAACTCCATCCCCCCGGCGCAGACCCCCACGGCCAAGCACATGCTGGCCTACCTGCCCCGGCCGCCCGCCGACACCAGCCGCTACGGCACCTTCCCGCAGGAGGTATGGCTCGCCCTGGGCATCCTCGGCGCGTGGTGCCGCCGGGCTCGCGGGTGCTGTCGGAGGCCATTTCTCACCGACGGGCTCCTTTCCCTCCCCACAGCCCGAGCTCCCGGCCGTCCCCGGCGCTCCGGTGGAGGACGGCGGGCAGAAAGCCGCCGCTGCCAAGAGAGGCGCCCCGATGCCAAACTACCCATCTGCGCCCTGTCACAGCGGCATTGTCCCCGGTGAGCCGTCCCTGGCGCCCAGCCGCGGCAGCCTGGCCACCCAGCAGCACCGCGGCCGGCCGTCCTGGTGCCCCGCGCCCGCCCCACAGGAGGCAGGTGCCCGCCTGTACCCGCTGAGCGTGGCCAGCATCCCCAACTCCTCCCGCGGCAAGACCTCCGCCCGCAGCTCCACCATCCCCACCCCGGAGGGGCTGCAGGGCCGGCGCTGCAAGCTGCTGGAGGAGGACAGCCCCGTGGTCCAGGCCGGCAAACGGCAGCGGCAGCGCTACGTGACAAAAGTGGGCAAGTGCCAGGTGAATCTGGGCAACATCCAGGACAAGAAGAGGTTCCTCTCAGACATCTTCACCACCATCGTAGACCTCAAGTACCGCTGGTTCCTCTTCGTCTTTATGATGTGCTACATCGTCACCTGGGTGGTCTTTGGCTTCATCTACTTCTTGGATGCCTGGGTGCGGGGTGATGTTTGGCACCAGGGCGATCCCGAGTGGCAGGCATGCATCGAGAACGTGGATGGCTTTGTCTCCGCCTTGCTCCTCTCGGTGGAAAGCCAGCGGACCATTGGCTACGGCACTCGGATGGTGACAGCCAACTGCGCCGAGGGCGTCATCCTGCTGATGGCACAGTCCATCGTTGGCTCCATGATCGATGCCATGATGGTTGGCTGCATGTTCGTTAAGATCTCCCGGCCCAAGAAGCGTGCCCAGACCCTCATCTTCAGCAAGAACTGCGTCATCTCCCTCCGGGATGAGAAGCTCTGCCTGATGTTCCGTGTGGGGGACCTGCGGGACAGCCACATGGTGGATGCCAAGATCCGGGCAAAGCTGATCAAGTCCCGTCAGACGGCTGAGGGGGAGTTCATCCCCCTGGAGCAGTCGGAACTGAACCTGGGCTACGACACAGGGGAAGACCGTCTGTTCCTGGTGGAGCCCCAGATCATCTGCCACGTCATCAACCATCACAGCCCCTTCTGGGACATGTCTGCCGAGTCACTGCGCCGAGACCAGTTTGAAATCATCATCATCCTCGAGGGCATCGTGGAAGCCACAGGCAAGTGGTCTCAGGGGTCAGGGTGGGGAGGGGGGGTTCCCCTGGGGTCCTGGAGATGCTGGGCAAACCTGGGCCCAGGAGTGGCATCTGAGCAGGAGAAGCTCGGGGTCAAAACTGTCTCCAGCGGGCCACGGGCGATGCAGGGCTGGAAGCCCCTGGCCAGGCAGCAGGGGCTCCTTGTGGCACGGCTCAGCCATTGTCTTGCCGCAGGAATGACGTGCCAAGCCCGCACCTCCTACACGGAGGACGAGATCCTCTGGGGATACCGCTTTGAGCCCTGCATGTCTCTGGAGAAAGGCGCCTTCCAGGTGGACTACAGCCGCTTTGAGATGACCTTTGAGGTGCAGACGCCAGCGGCCAGCGCCAAGGAGCTGCAGGAGCTGAAGGAGCTGGAGCAGCAGCAGCACTCCACGCTCAGCCTCTACTGGGACCACCTGCTGCAGCCCTGCGTGCTGCCGGGGCCCGGCGAGGACGCGCCGGTGGGGACCAGTGCCCCCGGCAGCGCGGCTGAGGGCGGCCGGGACCTGCCACCAGAGCGGGAATTCCCTGCCTGAGCTGCCCCCGGACCGTGGTGCCCCCCACCAACAGTGCCATAGCCCACCCTCCTCCGTGGGGCTGAGCCCCTGTGCCCTCACCCCTATTCCCCAGCGCAGCCCCAGGGCATTCTTTTTGTCAAGTTGTTCTTTTGTAACAAGGAATACCAAGCGCAACTAGTGGGCGAGTAAAGGCTGCTCATGACCAAACCACCCGACCACCGGCCGTGTTTATTCTGGGGAACTCTCAGGGGGCTGGGCAAAGAAAAGGCAGAGTCCAGAGCCCCCAGTGCCGTGGGCTCCGTGCTGCACCACCTCGTGGAGCCTGACACAGCCCCGTGCCCCCCACACCCCAAACTGCCCCACTCCCTGTCTGACACAGAGCCCCAGGACTGCCCCAGCACGGAGGTCTTGCACTGGGCTGGTGCTGCGAGAGGTTGGACACGGTGTAGTAGAATTAAATTAATTTTGTTACAGGAATCGCATCACTGGAGTCACCTGAAGCACTTGGCAGGGCAGTGCCTGGGCCAGGGGCCTGGATTGAAAAACAAACCAATAAAATCTGTGTATGCAGGGTCTGGCTGGGCTGAGGAGCCTCCATGCAGTCCCCAGGCAGCTTTGCCTCAGAGGGTTGCAGAACAACCCTTGGGATTTAACCCCTTTTGTCCACCTCTGCTGTTCCTCTATCAACCTACCTTTGTATCTCCCCACAGAGTCTTGGCAGGCTATTTTCTGACCTCACCTCAAATCTCCCCTACCAAGCAGGGTGCGAGGGAGGGGATGGAGCAGCTGGGAGGCCCTGGGGCCGAGGTCAGCCCAGAACAGAGGCGATGCATGGGGGTGTAATATAAACACACACATCAGTGTCCCTGCACCACACCCCGCAGCCCCAAATTCCCTGCAAACACAGAACTCCCTGCACAAGTTAAAAAAACAAACTGCAAAGAAGTGTCTGTAGGCGCAAAGTTAACAAGGGTCAATATGCACATTGATTCAATATAAAATTGTGATTTGTCTGTTAAGCAGTTGATTTACATATCGTTAATATTCAAATGTAGGCCACTGGGCGAATAAAAAACACAAACTGGGTTATCGCACAGACGGTCGGGATTCACAACATGGGACACGCTCGGCTCCCACGGAGCCGGACTGGATTCCTGTCCCTGCCCCATTCCCTGTCCCTGCCCCATTCCCATTTCCATTCCCATTCCCCATTCCCCATTCCCCATTCCCCATTCCCATTCCCATCTCCATTCCCGTTCCCGTTCCCGTTCCCGTTCCCGTTCCCCATTTCCCATTTCCCGTTCCCGTTCCCGTTCCCGTTCCCCATTCCCGTTCCCGTTCCCGTTCCCGTTCCCGTTCCCCATTCCCGTTCCCGTTCCCGTTCCCGTTCCCGTTCCCCATTTCCCATTTCCCGTTCCCGTTCCCGTTCCCGTTCCCCGTTCCCGTTCCCGTTCCCGTTCCCGTTCCCGTTCCCGTTCCCCGCCCCTCGGGGCCGCAGCTGCCGTTCCCCGTCCCGGTCGCCAGGGGTCGCTGCCGCCGCTCCCGCCGGAGCTCCCTCAGTTCCCCCTCCCGTGGTGCATTCCGGCGCGTCGCGGTGACGTAAATTGCTGCGCGCCGCGGTGACGCGCAGGGCTCTGCGGCGGCGGCGGCGGCCGCCGAAGTGGGACCGGAGGGGAGCGGAGCGGGACCGGAGCCCCGCACCGAGCGGGAGGGGAGCGGGACCGGAGCCCCCGCACCGAGCGGGAGGGGAGCGGGACCCCCGCACCGAGCGGGAGGGGAGCGGGACCGGACCGGAGCCCCCGCACCGAGCCGGACGGGACCGGACCGGACCGGAGCCCCCGCACCGAGCCGGACGAGCCCGCCGCGCCGGGGGCAGCGAGCCCGGGCCCCGACGCCGGCCTTCCCCGCAGCCTTGGCCCGGTTCTCCCGTATGGCGCGGCCCTGAGGGGAGATGACCGACCAGGAGAACAACAACAGCATCTCCAGCAACCCCTTCGCCGCCCTCTTCGGCTCCGTCGCTGCTGCCAAGCACTTCGCCGCCGTGCAGAAGCAGAAGCAGCAGCAGCTGCGGCAGCTGGCAGGTGCGGAGGCCGAGGCCGGCCCGGGGAGGGGGTGAGGCGGCCCGCTTGGCACGGCCTGGCCCCGGACGCTGAGGGCTCTGTCCTGCAGGCGAGGAGACGTCCATCAGCCAGGATGACTCCGACAACAGCGTCTCCGAGAGCCTGGACGACTGCGACTACTCGGTGGCCGAGATCAGCCGCTCATTCCGCTCGCAGCGAGAGCTCTGCGAGCAGCTCAACATCAACCACATGATCCAGAGGATCTTCCTCATCACCCTGGACAACAGTGAGCCCAGGAACCCCGGGAGGGTGGTACAGGCTGGGGCAGCTCTGTATGCCGGGGTGTCTGACACCCCAGGGGACAGCTGGGAGGGGACAGTGCCGGGGCAGCAGCTGGGGCTGTGCTGGGACAGTCCTGCCTGCACGTGGAACAGGTCCCTCTGCCCTTCGCAGGTGACCCCAGCATGAAGAGTGGGAATGGGATCCCGGCACGCTGCGTCTACCTGGAGGAAATGGCCGCAGACCTGGATGACCAGGACTGGCTGGACATGGACAACGTGGAGCAGGTAGGCACACCTGCCTGGGGCCACCTGCAGACTTTGGCCACTGGATTCAGTTTGTTTCCTCAGAATGTACATATGATGTATCCCAAATCCTTTTCCAAAACCTGGCACAAAGCTGCCACTTATTATTATTTTGCTGGAAAAGTCCATGAGACTTTTGGGATATGAGGCTCAGAAAAGTGTAGAATTTGGGGAATACAGCCTTTCTTCCTGGAAGCTGCAGGAGTTTGCTGCCCTGCAGGTCTTTGTGGGTGGGAAAGGGAAGAAAAACCAGAGAACTCAGTCAGCAGTGTCCACGCAGACTCTTGCCCTCATTGGCAGCTGTGTCAGTCGTTCCTGCTGAGGACTTCAGTGGAAATGGTTGCTGGTGGGGGTGCTGTTATTCCATGGGGGACTGGAGGATTTGCTTAGGCCAGAAGCAGCTGAGGGCTCTCACTCCAGCGCTGTTACTTACTGAGGGGCAGGGAGAGCTGTTCCCAGCAGGAGTCAGTGAGCCTGGGGGGTGTGGAGCCTCCTCCTGGGGAGGGCTCAGCTCTGTGTTGTGTCACTGCACCCGTCTGTGCCGCTGCCCAGGCCCTGTTCACCCGCCTGCTGCTGCCAGAGCCCGGGAGCCACTTGATCCACATGACGTGTGCCAGCAGCCAGAACCTCTCGGCTGAGCGCGACGCCGGGGAGAGGCAGATCCTGCGCTACCTCTACGCCTGCTTCCGCAGGGCGCGGGAAGAGGTGGGGAGGCAGCTCCATCCAGCACCCAGCTCTGCAGTGACCCGGCTCAGGCTGTGCTGAGCGGGGCCCCAGCGCTGCCTGCTTCTCCTTGCTCAGATCACCAAGGTCCCGGAGAACCTGCTGCCCTTCGCCGTGCGCTGCCGCAACCTGACGGTGTCGAACACGCGCACCATCCTCCTCACCCCCGAGATCTACGTCAACCAGAACGTCTACGAGCAGCTGGTGGACCTGATGCTGGAGACACTGAGAGGGGCACGTAAGTGAGAGGGTTGTGCCACTGCCTCAGTGCTGCGAGGCTGCCCTGCAGCATCGTGGAGCTGGGTGAAGCTTTGGCTCCCCTTGCTGCCAAAAGAGAGGGTTGTGTCTGGGTTGATTTGGCTCCTGGAGCACTCTGAGTAACAGCCTTGTATATCCTGACAGAGTTTGAAGACATGACCGAGTTCCTCGAGGAGGTCATAGAAGCCTTAACGATGGACGAGGAGGTGCGCACATTTGGGGAGGTCATGGTTCCTGTGTTTGACATCCTGCTGGGGAGAATCAAGGACCTGGACCTCTGCCAGATCCTGCTGTACACATACCTCGATGTGCTCCTCTACTTCACAAAGCAGAAGGACATAGCAAAGGTGGGTACCTTGGCGTAGGCAGGAGCTCTTTGCAGGGGCACAGTTACAAGACCTGATCTGCAGAGGTCAAACCAGCAGTGTGGTGTAACAGTGCCCAGTGTGTGTAGTCATACCCCCTCCTCTCCCTTCTCATAGCCTGCCACAAACCCATCAGTTTGTTAGGGTTTTTTGCTGGTATTTTGGATAGTTGTAAGCATGTCCTGATGTGCTCCCCAGATTTTTGCAGGTTACATCCAGCCCAAGGATCCCAGCAATGGACAGATGTACCAGAAGACTTTGCTTGGAGCTGTTTTAAATATCTCCTGCTTGTTGAAGACCCCTGGCGTGGTGGAGAACCATGGCTACTTTCTGAATCCATCCCGATCCAGCCCACAGGAGATTAAAGTGCAGGAATCCAACATCCATCAGGTGGGAGAAGTGGGGCAGTTCTGCTTCCTGCTGTGTTAGTGGCCTCTCATTGCCTGAGGGTTCAAAACATGGTATCAGGGTTTGGGCTCCACCGCTGGTTCAGGAATAGCATGGCTTGTATGTCCCCGAACTGCACTGAAGTCTCCTGCTGGAGCATGGGAACAGTTTTGCCAGCTGCCTTGGGTGGTTGTAACCCAAGTCTTTGTGCCTTACCAAAGTTGCCTGAGATTTTGGAAAAAGGGTGGGTGGAACTGGCGGAACAGACCACAGAACTTGAGGTGCTACCTGGAGATCACCTACCTCGGGTGTTGCAATCACCAGGGACTAGTTTTCAGTACCTGTCTTGTAATTAAAGTACTAATTGATTCACCAGTTAAGAAAGTGACAGGCAACATTCTCTCTCATTATGCAAGTAAATTTTTTCCTTAGAGGAATACCACTAGAAATGTTCCAGTAGGTCAGGAGTGAAATGTGAGGATTCAGGATATAAATACAGGAGTGAACTGGGGTGCAGAGGTCATCCCTGAGAGGGGCTTTCCCACTCAGGGGTTCCATCAGGCTGCCAAAAATGGGCAAAGAATTTTGGATTTACTTTGTATGAGAACAGATTGTCTCAGCTGTGCTTTTGAGGACATCCCGAATTGTTGTTTGCTGCCAGCCCCAGGATCTGACCTGGTTGTAACACCTGTGTGTGATGGGTGATTCACAGGGTGTCCTGAGTAGCAGGACATGGTCTGGAGCAGGAAAGGGTCTTGTAGCAATGATATCAGAGAGGCAAAAGAACAGCCCCCAAGGACTCATTCAGCTGTGTTCTGTTTCCTGTAACA